GAGAATATGACGGTTTTTTGGAAAAAATTGCGTAAATTAGATAGAAAAAAATTAAAAATTTTGTTTGAAGCACCCGAATGCACAATATGTTCAACTGTTTGTTTTTGTTTTAGGTAAAAAGCATGAAAGTGTAGTTGAAAGGCGCCAAAGCCAGTTATTTTTTTATAAGATTGTTTTATTTTTATGGTTTCACATTAACGTAATTGTGAGTATTAAATCTCTGTAACGTTGCCAAGTTTTAAATTCATTTATTTTCTTACAGATAAGTACATACCCACAGTATTTCGAAAATCTGTTTTGTTTATCCTGATATTTTGGAAGCGCTGTATATTTTTGATAACAAATTTGAATTTTAATGCATATGAATGAAGTAAATATGAAATCCAGATTTGTCCAGACGTTTATCGACGACATTTTAGCTTTTAAAGGTTTAGGTTATTATCAGAACTACCCAATCGTAACTAAACCTAATTTTGTCTTAAGTTGTTTGTGATAAACGGATGCGGCTGTAAATTGTAATGACGAAACTTATATCTAGACGTCGACGTCTGCGTGTGGCCTCGCACCTTAGGGGGTCTAGCAACAAAACGCCATTCTAATAAGGATACGTACAATAGCATTGATCCAGAGTCATCTGGTAATACTAATAGTTACGGGGAACCCTCCAAAAATTAAAAAAAAAAAGGATAGGTCTTCCAGACCCTTTTAGTGAATATTTTCTGCTGTTCAATTTATTAGCACTTTTCCGAACCGAAAAGTAACGAACAAGATTTCGCCATCTCCCTCTCAAACCCGAAACTGACTACAGGATGAAAGTCACCATCAGCTTTCATTTTTCAAAGTTCAAAATAAGAGTCGAACGAGTTGCAACGCTGCACGTATTTGAATTTTTCTTGCCTTACTCACGCGAGCTAAGTATATCCGCAGCTTTAGGAATGCGTCGAGACGCTGACGAAGCATCGCCGTCGACGGCGTCTAACAGACATTGGCAAGCATCCACAAACCACCTCTTCTCGTTTGCTGTCAAGTGTCTTAATACTTTTCATCGCTGATGCACTTTTCTTATTCTCCAGTTTCGTAAGAAAAATAGAAACAATTTTCTGCTATTTTCTTTTTAAAGTTTCGATGTTCTTTTATAATGTGTAATTGATTTTATTTCTCTACCAGAAAATGATAAATAAAATGGTAGAGGTATTGACAAAACAATACTGTATGAAGATAAATAAAAGTAAAATAAAAATACTGGTATGCAGGGAAAGAGCGAATATAAAGGTAGGAGACGAAAAATTAGAAATGGCTGATTTTCAGTTTCTATGAAGTTAGCAGTAGAAATATGAAATAGAGAATAGCGCAGGGTCAAGTCCTTCCTTCTACAAAACGAAGTAAATTTTGTGGTCGCAAACGGTTAATTTAGAAATTCGAAATAGATTGTCTAGAGTGCGGCGCTGTACGGGTGCAAAACATGGACAGTGGGCGCGACGGAAAAGAAAAGGAGCGTTTGAAATATGCTGTCAGAAACGAACGATGAGGATACAATGAATAGACAAGGTTAGAAATAAAGGTATTAGAAAGAATGGGAGAACAGAGGAAGTCAATAAGAAATAGCCGAGATAGGTTGGTAGGACACCTTCTCAGGCATCAAGGTCTAGTGAGAGACATATTAGAAGTAGAAAGAGTTAAAAAGACTAAAAGTAGACCTTAGTTAGATTACTGTTAAGACATTGGGATGTTCTAGTTTTAGGGAAATACGAAAATTAGCTCAGGATTAGAAAGAGTGAAAGTGCGTGTTCAACCAGTCTTAGGACTGACGACCTTATGATGATGATGACTAAAAAGGTACTTATATACTATGTAGGTTTGATAAGAAGTAAAATTATAAATAGCATTTTGGTGCTTAATGCTTAGTCCTGTCATATACGTGAAGATGAATGGGTACATTTACATAGCAGCTATCATTTCGATAGGAAATTTGATTAGTTACAAAACATCTCTATATAAATATTTATTAATGTTTCATAAGTTTCTCAAAAATGCAGCCTACATTTAATTCATCTTCGATATCCTGACCGTTAAAATTCAAACTAATCCACCTTTAAGGACTTATTCAGCTGATGATGCAATAAAATGTTACTGCCTTGATTTCCATTTCATCCTCTAACTTATACGACTGTGATGAATCAAAGCTAACCGATATGAAAAGTTGTTGTATTTTTTAAGCCAATAACAAACGTTTCGCCTTTCAAACAATGTTTGTTACTTTTTTGCTAATTTATTCTCACTTATTCTATAGCACTTTATTTATTAAAGTTTAGCATGTTACTAATAATTTAAAATATATTTAATTATGCAAGTAATACTAGAAGATCTCGAAAAAAGGCTTTAGTTAATTAAAAATTTCTACCAAACGATTTGTTTAGCACCGTCTGGTGTGTCTTTGTAAGATATCATTCGTTTTCCCTTCTTTTTACCGTCAGTACAAAGAAAACGTAAATATAAACAAGGTGTAAATTTATAAAAGCCTCCATGAGACATACGTTCGCCTTTAGCCTAATAAAAGGTTGTAGGTCCTACGGTTTCTGACAGAACAGGAGACCCTGGAAGCTAAATATATTTTGGTATTGTGAGGTTTATTTTTTACTTCAAGGTTGGTTTTCTGGAGTGCGATGTAACTGTGAAATTAAAAAGAACCAACAAATTTTAGAGAAAACCGTCGTGGATTTGTAATGAATAAGAAATTTAAATGCAAATTATAAGTTAGAAAGTTTATGGGAATGTTATAGCAGTCCCTAATAATGTGTAACATCTAACTTTGGTCCAATTCGGTTATAACAAACACGAAGGCGCTAATCGTAAAAATTTTATTCGTTATAGCCGGGTGTTCGTTTTACGTTTAACTAGAGTCTTTAATTTTGACATATTAATGATGGAGGGAAACAATTGGAAAAAAGCGGGATGGTCTAAATGTGGTGTATAGTTTGTTGCAAACATTCTAATGTAATGTGTATACTCCCAAAAGGGGTGCCCTTAGGTACTTTCTTTCCGAGGTCCGTTACGCTTTTTCTTGATTTCATGGAGGAAAAATTGCAACATATCCCTACAAATCGGATTTACCGTTTTTTAGGAAAGTATCTAATATCTTTCCCCTTACCCCCCCCTCCCTTAGGAAATGTCATACTTTCCTCTAATGGCGCTTAACATACTATTCCTTTTTCTATGCTTTCGTAACGTATCTCTATTTGAAGATTTTCTGCTCTGTTCCTTTATTGGATCGTAATAGTTTTGAATCGAAGCCAATATATTAGCGTTTCAACTTAACATAAAGCGTAAAATTTTCAGATCTTTGAACTGTATTTTGTATATTTCGACTTCCCTAAAAATATCATTCATTGTGTGAACGAACTGACAGCAACAGGTATTATTATATATACAAAAGCTATATGTGTGGCTTTAAGTAATTAATTACAAAGATAAATAAAAAAAATAAAGTTTCCGGCTAAAAGCTCCATTACTAATGGAAAAAGCAGGTTTACCATTGTCTTCAAACTACTTCAATAGAAGCAATATCTGTCATCCCTTAATTAAAAAATCAAAAATGTATATGTATAGTAGAATTCGAAGGATTTATAGAAAAGCTCTACAAATTATCATTCATCTAACTGTTAGAATCTCCAGCTAGGTTATTTTTAATTAATTAAGTGAAGATTGATTAATTAAGTAAAGAATCTACTTCTTTATACATAACTAAATAACATCGAGACAAAGGAAATGTCATAGAAGAGTTACGTTCTTCAAGGATAATCCTGTAATTTAAACTTTAAGTGTCTGACGGTTGAAGGCGGCATCAATTCTCAAAAGAAAAAAAGATAAATATGTTGTACGCATGTAAAAAGAAACCAATGAATCCTACTAATAAGTTGTTGCAGAAACATGTAAATTGTGATGCTATATTATTCATCGTGCTCTAAATAAACGAGACGATGACGAAAAGGATGAACATTTGTTGTCAAATTACATTAGCCACCACTATTTTTTGATTAAGGATGATTCACAAAGAGATTCGTTATTGCTACTTATTTTTAAAGAAGACGTGCGCTCCTACACACACATTTGGGAGTATGCACCTATGTTGCTTTATTAAAAGCAACTAAAAGCAACTGGGTAATAAAATTAAAACCGTAAATATATAAAATACAGGAGGTGTACAGTACAGTGATGTACACATTCGAGGGTTGAAGCTACAGCGTTCTTAGTAGATTATACTATCTGTGTGAGAACTTTGCTTAACCTTTGTATTCAATTTCGAGAGCAACACAATTTCAATGGTGTTCTTTGGTTCTTTCTCCAAAAGAGTGGACAGTTTGTCCTACGTAAACTCTTTTAAGATCTTTACACTCTTAAAAGTTTATGTACTTTCAAAATAGTTGGTCACACAAAGCTTATACAAGAGAAAAGTTCAGTGGAATTTGGCTGTAACAATATCGGTTACAATCACAACTCTGATGTAACGCCAGCTTTTTATACTTTCGCAAATTAACCATCTAAACCAACCTTATAAATATCGGTAATAACTACAACAAACTCGTATATACTTTTATTCCACGTATTATTGCCGGAACTTTCCTTGGTCAGGACCTAGATCGTCAAAATCAAGAGGTTGTCCGTTAATAATAACAATCGGTTATTACGTCAAAACATGGCCGGTCTTACGGTGACGCTACAACCAAGTTGTACAGTATTTTTCAATTACTTATTTTATTTATTTATTATTACATAATTTTGACAGCAGTATTTTGTATTTAATTAAAATAGTTTAGGAAAATAAATATATAGATACTGTATAATACAATTACTTGTAATTTTCGAATTGTTCGTATCTTTACTGGCTAATTATGAATGAAAACTAAAAAACCACTGCTGGTTTGTTGTTTGACACCCACTTTGAGAAAACAAAACGAACGAAAATCTTGACCTCAGCATCCGTCGCTCTAAATAAAAATGCTTCCAAAATTATCCCAATCTACCACCTGAAAGCGTCATCCCGAAGGACCAAATGAAAGCGATCGCGGCATGGGAGGGCCAATGGGACGTAAGAGCAAGAGGGAAGACAAAGGATCGGCGGGGCCCATAGGAGAAGTCCCCTCTGCTTGAAACTTGGCACGCGTCAACATTTTGTAAATATAGAACAGCTACCACGTTTCTTAATCTCAGTTCAACAGAAACCATTCCTCAAATCGTTTTGTCAAAACCGTGCGCTCAACAAGCACCAACAGCCACTGCGACGACCGTACTCAACTTAAGTCGCATCCAGGAGGCCCTGCCTAAAAAACACCGCACTGTCAACGCAAACGAACATCGACATCGACTCTTTTTTTACGTCAAACATTGTGAACATTTCTTCATTAATACAAAAAGAAACTGTCGTTAAGTGGTTTTTGTGTGCTAAAAGTTGGAAAGCATGCCGCGTGCTTTTCTTATCACGCATCGCAGATACAATTTAGAGAAAGAAATTGAACAGAAAGGTAAGAACCTGTTAATTCATTACAATGACATTATTAACTTCTCATTTTATAATCTTTAACCATTTTAAATTACTTTACATGTTTTTATCTAATCCACATATAATTTCTTATACGTAAACTTGTGAAATATTATTGACCACATTGAGATTAAAGTTTGATCTGCATAAAAAGCAATATTATATTATTACAGTACCAATAAGTAAAATGAAACGAAATTGCGCAAAGTAACATGCTCCCTAATATTTTTCTTTCAACCCCAATTTGTGCAAATATAAATACATATTTTCGGAAAATCATCGAATGTATTAGATACAGTACTATTAAGTGACATTAAGCTTTTTCAATTTTATATCGTTTTTAAATAGTTAATCTGGCTTTGTTTGTTCGTTAATTTAAACTTCAAAATTAACATAATCTTTTTTAAAACTCTTGGATAACTAAAGTCAGCAGCAGACAGCAGTAGATAGCGATGTACTGCCATAACCAGATACTTATATATAAATAAACAATTCTTCATTAGTTTTTTGAAATTACTAAAACTTGTATGATAAAAATTGTTTTGGTTAGAAAACGTATATGCAAAAAAGTTTTTACCTTTATTTTCAATTACTTACACTGACTCTATTCAAGGCATTTTGTACATTTTTTTCTACTACTACATGCTCATATCATATTCCTACTTCCTGGTAAGTGCTTTTCTAAATATATTTGACGATAGGTGTCCATATTGTAAAACTAAGGCGTTCATAATAAAAGCTAGCGTGTATACGAGATGGCTTTTACCCTATTAAAATGTCACCACGATACTCTTTAGCAGCGGATATAAACTTCAATGACTCTAAATGTTTACAAATAATCTCGCGACTGGCATAAAGCACATGCTGGATGCGCAAAACTAATTTTCTTTACATAAACTAGCCTTAATTGAATGGAAGAATGCAAAAAAATGTTCGATTTTATGAATGGGACTGAATTTAGCAGCCGAATAGTAAGAGTTCTTCGAATCCCATTAACAATTTCATAAGAAAGAACTTATGGTTGAGAAAAAAAAAACTATTGACACTGTTAAATGGGAAATGATGCTAAAAATACTTAAGAATGTAGGGGTGAGATATAGGGATAGAATATGGAAGAGAGATAACAAGCAGTTATAGAATTTGAGTAACATCGTAGAGAAGTAAACATTTTAATTCGAGGACAGGACAGCGTTGGGAATAGACATAGGTACAGGGACAAATGATTAGCTGATATGCTTAGATTAGCAGATGATATAGCAAGTATTTGCACCCAGCAAAGAGGCGTTTGGTATCTCTCTTCTCTACCTTCCAATAAAGTGACGAAAAGCTACAAGAAGTCGCTAATTTCCGTTATTTAGGGAAATAGATAATTCCAAAGGGGAAAAGCGCTAGAGATATAAAGTCAAGAATTGCTCATTGTGGGGTCGCTTTTAACAAAAAGAAATCACATTTGTGCTCGCCATCAATTAATTTGGAAATTCAACCACTTCTCTGTATGGGTGATGAGATTCGTGAACGTTTTGGAACGAGAATGTTATGGAAGTTAATAGGAAATAGACGAGATAGTTAGAAATATATTAGAAGTAGGACTAAGAGTTAAGAGGAGCAGGTGTAGACGTAGATTAGATAAGTTAAAAGAGTAATTAATCGCTGAAGTACTTCTTTCCGAACTAATTTGCAATGGTCAACCGTGGAAGGTAACGATGAGTTCATCTTCCGTGCATTTGTTTTCATTTCCAATTTTCGGTTGTAGATTTTTGCAAAATGTGTTATTACATTATCCTTTTTAAGTAGTTATTAAATAACAATTCATTTTAGATGACATGGACTGTCTTTCCTTGTTTGTCCCTGTTATTATTATATTTTTTGCCTTTCTTGTCAAATTACTAAGAAAATAATTGATTATGAGGAGAGCTTTTATACAGATTGCATTAGGGATGTTTAAAAGTCGGTTTTATTTAACGTTGCGTTTACCATAATTTCTTTTACTGATGTAAATTGAAACTTATTAAAATCGTAACGTGTGTTCGCTTAGCATGACCATATGTTACATTTTTTTTTAAATTTAGAACATTGCTCTGCCCAACGCACGTTTCAATAACAAACAGTTTTTTTCCGGAACTGAACTATGTAATACTTAACTCTTTATTTATTTAAAGAAAACGTTAATTTATTATTCAACAAAAATATTTATCTATTTGGTACGTTCCAAAAATTTGTCAATGAATAGTGAAAGATATTTCCGGTATAAACAAATGTGTACTGGGAACGTAATTTTGAATGAAACTGAACTGTAATTTTTTGGATAAGTATTTACAAAAAGGTATTTCATACATTTGTACTTTGTAATTGTTATTGAAAGTTAAGCTAAGCGAGAAAATAAAATTGAATTGAAAGTGTTGAATATTCCTAGAGATTCATTGGTGATTATTTTAATTAAATTAAATATTAGTTGTTGATATATATACTTTTCTTCGATTTTCAAATGAAGTAGGAACTTACGTATTTGATAATTATTCAGATCTACAAATGAAAATATCTTTAAAAACAGAAAAATACAGTTTAAAAGATTTCACATTTTACTAACTCATGCTTGATGGGTCAATGTTTGGAGAAGCATATATATGATGCAGCAAACTAATAAAAGGTTTGTGAAATGCTTTTTTTTATGATTAATGGTGGGAACTATTCAGTTCTCAAAAAGGTTTTTATTACTGCTGAAACAAAAATGGGTTTGCCCGAAGGAATCTGGTCTCCGAGTAGGTACCTGCATGTATTTCCCCATCACTTCGAAGTTTTGAGATATTAAACACTGAAAAGAGGAAAAAAATGTTGTTTTAAACTATTTTCAAGGGTCAGTTTCTATTTCCAAAAGTTTTACTCAGACCATCATTAATCCCACTATCGCAAATTACAATTCTTTGCCATTAGTTTTCTTTTTGAGATATCATGTTGATGCTCGCGTTGGATACGTGAAGTCACTCTACGTTTGGTTGATGCCAATCTTAAAACTAGTTATAAAAACATCTATCTGAACATACCACCCAGTAGTTAGTTATTGTACTATTATTTAATGTTTTTATCTCCAGTGAAGACGTTTTATTTTTTATTCATGCTCAGTTGAACGAAAACATAATTTCGTTGAGCTTCATCAATTAGTGCACATAACGAACTTGTGAATTCTTAATATTTCGATGAAGAAAATTCCCATTTTGATGTTCATAAATGGAAAGTATAGGAGACAAATCATACTTTATGACACAGGGGCGGCCTTAGTCATTGGAAGGTTCCGGGCGGGTAAATTTTTGCGAGGCCCTTGTCTTTGTGGAATTACTTTTAATGATGATACTTGAAAAATGCAAAGTGATTCATAAATAAGTTTACAGTTTTAAAATTGTTTATCAAAAATTAAAAAAAAATTGATAAAAACAAAGATAACAAATTTGTGGCTTCTTTTAAGACTATTAACTATTACTACCTAATATTTTTCTAATTGGATTGTTGCGCGAGTGTGCGAGGCCCCTGCAAGAGCGAGCCCCCTGGCGGTTGCCCTGTTCGCCACCCCCAAAGGCCGCCCCTGTTATGACAGCATCAGCATGACTAGGTTTTCCCAAAAGTCTGCTATAATGACGAAATTAGATTTGCAATGTATCAAAAGCGTTCGTGTCTCTGGGATAAAATTAAGAGAGAAATTATCAGATATTTCAAAGGTAATAAGCACGCATTTTTTAGGATTGTTTGGAGTTTTTCTCCATAAATGTACAACAGGGATCATATAAATGATAATAGTATCGCCTAGTTTTATTTTGGTAGATAATTTTTGAAAAATAATTAGGCGCATTTTGCGGAAATATTTCAATAAGCGTCGTTGACCGTTGAGTCATCGAAGTGAGCCACCTCGTGCGTCTCTATTAATAATTCTCTATTTTAGAACTCAAAAATAAACCGAACCACACGCACTAAATAGATTACAGGCACATAGGTACACTTAAAAGTGTCGGAAAAGTGGCTCATGCGCCACGACTTATTTACACGGGCTACTTGTTGTCCATACAGTTCGGTGGTGATGGCGACTTGTTGCGAATTGGCAGGATGCCGATAACACCTTACGGAGCCCCTGCTTTTGGCCCAAATAATCTCCTTTTGGCCCGAGCAACTTCGAACGGCCAGCTCAACAAGTGGGGCATGGGCCGTTTCTTTTTTGACGAACAAGTGGTTTTATTTATCCTGTTTTTTTTTTAAAAAGCACGATTTCGCCGAATGCCAATTGCAACTTGATATATCCGCTCTCAAAGAATTTTGAGTTGATACTAATAAACAATTGAGTCAATTGGGTCAAGTTTTTGCAAGTTACGTTTAATCGAACTACAATTTTTCTTTATGTTTTTAACCATTCAATTGGGGCAATCGTTCAGCATGTAGCTCAAAATTAGTTTGGTACTGTGGGGTCAGAACAATATTACTAGAGACGCACCAGGTGTCAGGTAATAGTGATAAAGAGCAAAATTGATCTTGGTCTTGAGGAAATGGAAGAACAACAACAACAAAACCAAGACTGTCTTTATACTAGCAATACCAAGACTTAGACCGAACGAATACGACCATGACCAACACAAATCAAGACCGAATATGCAAGACCAAGATCAAATAGGCAACACTAAATAAAAAATTACTATTTTCGGTGGTTTTATGAGTTAAAGTATTTGAAGCAACTAAAATCCAAATGGCACTCTGTTCCTGGTTCCTCAGCACCCTGTACCCGTCACCCGTTAAGAGCACTATCCGATACTAGTCTCTAGTCTTAGAATTAGTTGTAAACAAAATTTGTTTACTTTTCTTAAAAGCGTTTAAATGCGAAAGTCTTGTCTCATTTGCAATAGTTGAAAGACACATTTTATGCAGGTTGACAATGATTCAGTGGATTGCGTCAAGTCGGTGGTTGAAAACCTGGCAACAGTCAGTTTCAGTAGCACAAATATATATATATCTAAAGGTTAATAGCTTATTACTGCCAATGATATGTATTATGCACAAATCTCTTACGTCATCAAAAGTGACATGTCAATAAAAAGACGGATATCTAGATTTAACTTTTTTATTACGTTTACTTTGGATTGAAAAATAAAAAGGAAGGGCGTTTCGCAGATTACATTTTGTAATTTTTTACGGTAAAAATATTTTTAGACAAATTTAATGACAATTCTGTAGAAGTTGTTAATAAAATTACAAAACTAACTAACATCAAAAACCATCAGGTGCTTAATAGCGATTTCTTTGAAAATTTTCGAGATAAAAATTATTAATCAATTTAGTTTATATACCAGAGATGTGATTTATTAAAAATACTTGCATTTAAAATGCAAATAAAAAATACCTACTTTTATATTGCATTTAAATACTTTTTTGAGAAAAGCATTTTGTATTTTATTTAAAATACTTTTCTAAGCGTATTTTCTATTTGTAAAATGCAAAATACATTTTTTCAGTTAAAATTTTTGTTAGTATCACCGATCAAACATTATATAAAATAGTGAATGAAAGTTGCTCACATTGCCCATTGGAGGTATTAGAAGTTTAAAAAGTGGACAAAGAGACAGTCTATGAATGCCTTCTAATTCTTTAACTGAAGAGAGCCCAAAAAATTCTAAACTTCTTGGAAATGGATAATCAATCGATAATTCTATCAAAGTAATGTTGGATTTCCTTTTCTTTACAGAAGAGAGTCCTGAGAGAACGGTAAGTTTAGCTGAGCCGTCAAACGACGACCTGATGGGTCTTTCAGATAACAGTTCGGAATGTCCGGACGAACTCTACAACCTTACCAAACTCGCCGAAGTGAGTCTAGCTGCGGCTGCAGGTCAAATTTTAGACCATCCTCACCTTTCCACCAACCATTGCAAAAGAGAAAATTCGGATCAAGAAACCTACACATACACCCATAAGTTGTTTGACAAGTCGTCCAGGGCCTCCAGACCACATCTTGCAAAGGTTAGTGAGTTTTCGTTGAATCCTGAAACCTATCTCAATTTCCGTCTCAATAAAACGATTTCATAGTGTAATAATAGTCAATCCATTAGTGGTTTTAATGACTTTTTGAGTGTACCCGGTACGATCTCATCTCCGAAAAGTTATGAGCATCTTCTAAAGTGCAATCATAGTTTGACTATTTTGAGAACAGATTCTGGTGCTAGGTTTGATCCAGGCGTTGATTGGCATCGGGCAACTGTTGCGTGAAATGGCAATACGTCGTTTTAAACACCATGTTTATGACGTACTTTAACTGAAATAGCAAAGTAAAATGCACAAATTTTGTTTATTTTCAATTAATCCCACTTGTTTCGTTGAATTGAAACGGAAGCAACTGTAAACATTTTGGTCATTTTTGACGCGCACATGAATCTCAGTTTAATTCCATTAATCATTAAAAACATTTATTTATTTAAAATAATATGAACGAATGGAAGGTTCAACAATAATTTCTTTTTAAAATTTTGATTTATTACTTGGAATTTCGATCTGCAACTCGGAAGTTCGAGGTTACGGTAGATAAAGACAACATGAACGAAATGAGTGAGTATTAAGTCAACTGAATCGCAAGAAATCAACATTTAAATTCGAGTGACAAGCCAAAATTTCAAATTACAAGTCGATATTTCAAATTGCAAGCGGAAATTTCAAGTTACAAGTCGATGGGGTCGTGATGATTTGCAATTTTTTCATCCTTCAAAACTTATTCGTAAATCGTAGAGGAAAATTCGTGTAGAATAAACCAATCTTAATCACAAGAAATCTTTTGTAGGGGGGTAGATTAGCTTTTGTGACGTAATATTTGTTAGGGGGTCGTTAAAAGCTTTATTTTCATTTTGTGCTTTTTGTTTTTCCTTCTTCATGTCAAGACTGTAGTTTCCCTTTTTTTATCTCCTCAAATAAAAATACGTTAGAAATTTCAATTTTTTATTAACACTTATTATCTATTTTTCTACATACTCTTATAAATTAAAAGTTGACGTATGTACGTTTTATACATATAATTCTTTCCCAAATAGTAAATTTTATTTCAGAACGAAAGCAATCAACAAAACGTTGTCAGTAGTACTACCGGTAACAATACTCAAAAGACTGTTTCGGAGACTTCTCCTCAATTAACTCAATCATCCTCAAATAATTCCTCCTCTTCAAATTCGGATCACCATCACGATTACGAATGTAGCGATTGCGGAAAAAGGTACAGCACATCCAGCAATCTAGCGAGGCACCGGCAAACCCATCGAAGTCCCGGTGACAAGAAGGCCAGACGCTGTCCCCATTGTGATAAACTTTACGTCAGCATGCCCGCGTTTTCCATGCACGTCCGCACGCATAACCAAGGTTGCAAGTGTCAGTATTGTGGGAAATGTTTTTCGCGACCGTGGCTACTTCAAGGACACATAAGAACACACACTGGTAAGTGAATTACGAAATGTTTATTATTAAGCAGTTTTCTGTTTGAAAAAAATTTGTTTTTCAACTTTTCGGTTTTGAGCGAAAAATCGTGATTTTCAACTAAATAAATTTCTTTAAAAAAAGTTTTGCTAAATTGCAATAATTTACGAAATTTCAAGGTTAGTGATGAGTAACATTGGTTTTGGTCTTGTAGTCTTGGTTTGGACAAGACTAATAATATAAGACCAAGATCATCTCCAAGACCAAGACTAGAAGACTACTTAAGAAAGATTAAGACGAAGTCTTGGTATTGGTCTTGCTTTGCTCATCACTGTTTAGGGCGTTCGTGTTTCGTCGACTTCGTTCCATTTATATAAAGTTAAAATTTATAAAAACCAAACTATTTTGAGTGTCATAATTATAATAATAGTGTTTTACTGAAATACTTGTTTTTTTTGACAATGAAGTTGAAATTGCTTGAGAGTTTTCAAGGTAAGTCAGAGTTGACCGATCGTTTTCATTGCAGGTGAGAAACCATTTAAGTGCACCGTTTGTGGAAAAGCGTTCGCAGATAAGTCGAATCTTCGCGCACACATCCAAACGCATTCGAACACGAAGCCTCACATTTGCGGGCGTTGCGGTAAAGCGTTCGCGTTAAAATCGTATCTTTACAAGCACGAGGAATCGTCCTGTATGCGGATGAACGGCAGCGGTCGCCGCAACTCGCGCGAAGACACGCCGGATAAGAATTCCTCGTCTCCGACACCTGTCATAGTGTCGGTCGGTTCGCGACCGCCGGAAGACAAGATTTCCTCGGTTGTCAGAAGTTCGGAAAAACTGTTTGTAGCCCATGATCGTCCGGTACGTTCGCCCTTACTGTACAGATCGACCGTCATATCGCCCAATCCCGAACGCATTTTATACTCGACTATCGAGCATCCGTCTGTCATATTGAACGCCCATCGGTTCAGTCAAAATTTAAAGCTGGGAGGCGGAATCGTCCAAGATCAGCCGATGGATTTTTCATCAACCACGGGCAGAGACAACTACGACAGGGGCGGCTATCCCTCTGGAAGTGATTATTCCACAGGTTACGCGATCGGTCTTGCAATTGCAGTCTAACGAAAATCATTTGTGTTAAAAAAAGATTGCGTTGCCGGAAGGAGAAATGTGCGTTTTCGTGAACAGTCCGTTTAGTGGACGAATGGTGCCTTTTAATGTCCCGCGGACGCATTTTCGATTGTTATATTCCGTTTTGGGACCACAACTGAATCGCTTTGTCAGCCGAACGTAGCAGATCTACGCATATTGGAAACAGGTACTTACAAAAATTACCTAATTTATTATTTTATAAGACACTAACAGACAAACAAAAACTACGATAATTACTACAAGTACTTTTGAAAGCTTGTAAAGTGATATTAAGATATTTATTTTTTATTTGATATTATTCGTTGGCAGGAATTGTAGTAAATTAGTTAATGTACGTACCATTAATTAAAGAAATACTGTGTGTGATGTTTGTGCCTTATTTCAAAAAAAAAAATTAATAATATTATCACTGTGAATTAAAGTGCCATTATTCAAGTAGGTAGATGTAGATTTTATAGTAGTTTAAATTATAATTTCTTTAGGTCTTTGTGTTCATTTTTTATAAGTTGATTTCCTGTCCTCAATGGCAGCTTGGTCATTCGGTTTATCACATGTTTCCCTTTCGTATTATTTGTTTAAAGTTCGTGTACATACAGTAGATGTTAAAAATTTGACCATCACCAAACGAAAAATGCTAACTAAATTAAAACTATTTTAGAAAAATTAACAAAACGTCTTAATTAGTGTATGCATTTAATTATACATATTATCGAGTGAATATTTCAATGAGCAAAATTTTATAGTATTATACGGAATACTCATTGTAATCGAATAAATAATAACGTGTCTTACTAATAAAAATTAACTTAATGTTATCAACATTTCTGTGATATACGATACGTAGGGTCCTCATGAAGCTATAAGGATCTCTACAAGACCAAATTGCAGAGTAATTCCGTACTGTTTGATTTAAATTACAGCGAAAATTCTGGCGGTAATTTTGGTGGAACAATTTATTGCTAATAATGTCAGCTTTGCCGTGTAATACTTGCCTTAACAAATTAATATAATAGGTACTATCTGTTAATTATTAGGGATATTTTTTATACATATGAATAAGGTATTTATGATTACGTAATTTGATGGCTGAGATGGTATATAAAAATACTATTAGCCGATAATACAGGGTTTGTTCTCTAATTTATTTATCTATTATTATTTATTTATTCGGTAAATTTTAGTTTAGTTTTGATAGGAAATTGATCTCAATCAATGCCAGAGATGAGGAATTGTTTTTTTTTTCAGACCTTCTTTAATTAGGTAAAAATGTATCTAATAACATATATTTCGGTTAGGGGTGTTAAAATATTACGTAAGGTGACAGTTTTTCTTATTTTTGCTGACAGAAGTAGTGGGGGGGTGATCATAAGTCATATGTCTATACGATTTCGTTGAAATTTTGGTGTTGTGCAGATCACTATGCAGAACAATAATATATTTATATATTGAGCCAGGAAAGACTTTTTCTTCATAGTTTCATAATTGAAAATCAAAACTAGTTGAACTTATCTTATCTTAAACAAAACAAGCACCCGGATACGACAATACTTACTTCGTCAGTGTTGTCTTTACCTTCCGTAACTATATAAGTAATTCTAACCAAACCAAACTTCATGCTTTTACTTGGTTTCTTCTGATCATAATATTACGGTATCTATGCTAAGAAATGCATATAAATATATTCTCTATCCAGCATAGTGAACTGCACAAAATACAAAAATTTTAACGAAATCGAAGGTGCGTATACCAATAGAGACCATTAACAAAAATTCTTGTCTAGCAAGAAAGGAAAATCCACAATTTTCTTAGTTTTTTATAGCGTGGTCGGAAATTTTTGCTGATGAAATACTTGAACGTTTTCTTAGATAATAAATAGTTCGTTAAAATTTTTATTAAATCTGTTTCAAAATTGTTTTATGAAAATAATTGCTTGCATAATTAAAGAACAACTAAATAGATTTCATTTTTATTAAACGTGTTGTTTATGTTTTATAGTAAAATGAAATTGTTGGTATAGCCTTTATTATCTTTTTAATTATTGTCAATAAAAACCTAAACCATGCATAATAAATCGTTTTGTATACGTAATATATAACAAAAAAAAAACAATTCTCATTTTTGGCATCAGGATCTCCTTCTTCTTGTTGAGTGCAACTAGTCTCAAGTACACTTTGGACCACTTTCGAGTACGCGATCAGAGTGTACGATAAAATAGTCAGGGCTTATTTTTTTTATACCTTATAATAAATAACTAATATTACTAACAAATTTTAGTTCGGTTTCTACCAATAGTTCTAATATCGGCTAATGATATATTGTGTGTCCCTAGTCATTTATTATTATTATGATTATTATAAATAATTACATAGTTAATGCTACCTAATTACGCAATTAAATCCTAAATAAGGAAAAGTTTTAAATTAGCTGCCGGACTTTATCTAAAAATTCGTGGAATTGAATTTATTAGTTTGAATACATTTTTTTGTTTTTGAAATGGAGTAAGAAAATATTATGCCAATTTCTTCGCTGGTTTTGACTTTTCCTTTTTGTGAAATGTACATATACAAACTTTATTACTTATAGCTGAAGGCCAATGGTGCAATATTAGTTGTAATTAGATACCAAACTTACGTGTATAATAAAGCAATAAAAAAGCTAGACATAAACCGTAAAGTGTTGTGAAAAGCAGCAAGAATATTTTAAAAACTGACAAAATTTTAATTAAACATAATAACAACAAAAAGAAAAAACACAAGGTTTAGTTAATTATTTTTGGTATGATTTTCTTAAAATGAGAATATAAAAATATAGTAAATCTCACAATACTTCTGAATAAATTTTTTTTTATTTATTCTTGCTTTTCATTCATCACAATCGGTTCTATTATTTATTTATAGGGGTAGTTTTACGGTAGTTTCCATTCCTTAGTCGTTAGTATTTTTCTATGTGAACAGTGTTAAATGGTAAATAGTTTATTCCTTTCGATTAGATGCCAAACACGTATTTCCGAAAAATTTTAGTATTTAGACTTTACGTGTTGTATGTACATTTTCTGATTTTCACATTTTGATTGTCTGTATTTGTGCTCTTGTATGTTTGTTAATAAAACAGTGGAAAATATATTTTTTTTATTGGAACTAAACAATGTCGCGCACACTTAGGGCTAAGAGGGTTAAAGGTTTTGGTTTCCCCAGGATGCACTTGGAAATACGCAGATATATTGTGAAAGTTGAAGGATGTGGGTAGTATGAAGGCGTAGAAGATCCAAACATATTTTTTTTAATGTTTCGAAGTGTAACTGATAACAACTTCCCTATTTTAAAAAAATGGCGATAAAGGTCATAAAGGAAACCTCTGCGCAAAATTTCAACTATCTAGGTCCAAAGGTTTAGCCGGGATGTTGATGAGTGGGCCAAGAAATTTCTTAATATATATGTAAATATACAAATTTTAAATATTTAAATATTTGAGTATAAAAGAAATTAATATTTAGTCTGTTCGATACTCAAGATCAAAAACAATTAACTAAATGTTTTCTTATTTTTTAAACGGTCTTTTAATTATTACTTCATTTTCCTTTCTATCTAATAAAATTAATCTAGGTACTGAGCTTTTGTCTACTGAACCAAAACAAGTAGTGGTGGATCATGTTACAATACATAACCTTTCACCTTCAGTTTACAAGCAACTGCTTTGCTGAGCGGACGGTTAAAAGCTTGACTTCTACGTTCGATAAAGGAATTCGTCATTCCGCTGTTATCTAAACTAGATCATTTTGGTTTAATTTGCAAAACAATTTCAAAATTTTCGTCAAATATGTTTTTATGTGTGTATGAGCCATCAACTTAATAGAGAACAATTTAGCTGCAAAAGTCCATTCCAAGGAAGCGACTACATTTTGGCAAAATGAAAGGTATGTGTTTTTTTGTTTACTTATGAATTTGTTAAAGACAATTATGTTTTATGTTCAGACAGAAATTTATTTGGATTTATGTAAAATAAAATAAATTTAGTAAAACTCTTCGTGTGCCTATTTGAAAATATCTTTTGGAAGATTAAAGGACTTTTCATTATTTAGGCGTGTTTTAAACAATTTTTATTTGTAAATGAATAGTTTATGGGTAACTGATGGATACGGTACGTAAACGTTCACCCTCCCCTAGGAGCATGAGCCCATCCCATACACGAGGCCCCAAATGCCTACTTTTGCTGTACTTTTACGAGCAGTTCTGAGCTGTTAAACTCGCAGAAGTTATGTACCTATAAACTACTTTTTTACAAAACAATAATACAAATTTCTTGAATTTTTTTCATTCTCTTGTCATGTAGCATCCCTTCATTGTTGTGACGATTACTTATTAATTTAGTTTATATTCATCGATTGAAAAATTGCAAAAGCTTTCAATTTGGACAAAGTAATACATACGATCATTAAATAATTTTGAATTAACGAAAGCGTAGAGGATTATGTGAAGTTGAATACTTATATGCAGTTTCAGTTTGCGTTATATTGAGTTAAATTTCTATTCAAGTTAGGCTAAAATTTTCATTTCATGAGCTTTAGCCACCGGGCCCATTCGTAGTTACCAGTAATTCAAAAAATTTATAAATTAAGAAAAAACATATTATTATATATGACCTCGTCGATGAAGAAATTGAAAAATACATTGATATACTGGATGTTCTATTTAAAAGAATAAGATTAGGTAATGTGCAGATTATATAAGACACTGTATAATTAAATATATGTTCTGCGTCTTGTTTGCCATATAATTCTGTNTGTAGGATATAATGTTCAACTTTCTGGATGAATATACTTGAGCAAAGGTTTCTTCGTTCATTTTATAACTTACCGCGGATGTTGCGTTTATTTTTAGTTGGAAAAATCCGTACTTACCGAGCTTGCAATTTAAGTCCGGATGTTTAAAACCAACTGCAGCACAGATACCACACTAGAGGAAACGTAACTTTACTGCTTGAACAGGGGGAACCATAAATTACACCGTAAAGGTAGGCACAAATAACGTAAAGAACAAGGGGGAGAGCCCTAAGGTTATTTTCTTCCTCTTCTTGCTCATACGGTAATGATATTAAATTTAATTTGTATAAGGGTATGCTTTCTTGTCATGATCATATCTTAAATGTTGGAAAAAACCCATCTAAAATTAAATAAAGTTTGTCAATAACTACCATACTAGTTGAATTTCAAATTTAGTTTATATAAGTATATTACGCAGTAAATTAAGATTGTGTTATATTGTTGGTTGTAAGTATAGATGCATATTTATTTTATTATTTCCCGTTTTTAATTATTTATTTTTTATCGTTTTCATGTTGAAGCAAAACTGTTTAGTCATAATTGCTTTTATGATTTTACAGTCATGAATCATCTTTGGTAGAGATGATCAATAAGTATATTTGTAAAAAGTTACGAAATTGATTTATGCATTACTTTTCTATTATTTTTTATCATTATTTGTAGCATCTTTTCGTAGTTTGCAACAAAATGTTCCATGCATACATAATAAACAATGTAGTGGTTTTCAATGCATACAATTTGAATGTGAAAACTAATTTCCAATTAACTTAACCTCAGGTTAATAAGGGAAAATTGTGTGACAATAGTAATAAATTTTCCCTCATTTATCTGAGGTAGTATGCAGTGCGTAGAAAACTGAAAATTCACATTAATATTTGATATTAACCACTATTAAATGTCAAAGTATTTCATATAGAATAAGCATACAATTTTGTAACTACGCGTTTAATTTTATTTTTAAATTTAGAAAATCTAATTTGAAGAAAATGGGAAAGTTAGGTTTTAATTCGCAAACAAGTGATTGCAACTACAACTTGAAGACCCTCAGATGATACTTTATGAACAAATTTGACAGCTTTTTTCCTATTTTAAATTTTTGTTGTGAATTTGTCGAGGTGCGTGTCCAACCAGTCTTAGGACTGACGAACTTATGATGATGATGCGAATTTGTATCAATGCGACTTCAATTTTATTTAAATATTAATATCATTTACATTTTATTAGGCCGAATCATGTCGTAGAACTAATTATAAAAGGCATTAACAACAGTTGAACACAATTATGCCATTAAATTTTGATAGATATTTTTTGATGATGATAATGACTCCTCTTTACATTATGAACATTCTTTACAATAATTAATCAAAACATATTGATGTAATTATCCTTTATGAACACTTCATCTGTTAGAGTATTTGAATCATTAAATTAGGTGGAACTGAGTGTCTGCAAACTGTAAAAATAAGCAAATTCGTTATGTGAACACGTTTAATAACATGTGTTTCTAAAACAGACCTCATGGAGTAGCACGTGCCGTCTTTATATCGCCTGAATAACACCTGAACCACGCACGGGCGGGTCAAGTAACTGTCTGACTAATATAGGGAGGAAAAAGCAATTAAGATACTAATGGATCCACTGGAATGTGACTTACTGTATATTAGGACTGTCAATTCCAAAGCACAAAAATTTAATGAAGTTTACTGAAAAAAAGTGAATGATAATGTGTTTGAATAAGGATTTTGGAAATGGTAAACGGAAAAAGATTAATTGTTTTCACTTTGTTTTATTTACGATTTGTTTAATAACATTCTGGAGATACGAGGGTGGATTGATAAGTTTCCGGCCTAACCAAGAGATGACGCCACTAGGCCTACCTTGAGGTGACATTCTATAGTACCATCCTTGGATAGCTTGTAGCTATAGTTTCAGCCCGATCTCCTTGCTANTATTATAATTAAACGCATGCAATAAGGTGCGAGTGTACTGCATATTTAGAGATAGGTGGAAGGAAATCCACGACCATTAAAGACATCTGGATAGTTTTATATGCCCTTCTAAGGGCAAAGAACTCTCCACGAAAAAAAAAAAGAAACAAAACTGTTCCACTTTAAATACCGGAAACTACTTGTTTTTGTACGATACCTACCTGTATTTCGAGTAATAAACAATCCCGTTGAGGATAATGAATTTTTATATCAAGTATACATACCGACCTATGTTAGAAAAGGGTTGAAAAGGGGTGGTGTGGAGTTACGTCATTTTTATTACACCACTAATTTGTCAC